TAACCTAAGAAAAGCTCAGGTATCTTAGTGTTGAGCTTCCAAGTGTCCCAGTGAATAACGATGCTGCCGAAGCTTGGAATAATTACCACCGCCATCTCCAGCTCTTGCTGTCTTTCCCCAGATGTTCTTCCAACCACAAGTTCTTCAGGCCAGCTTCCTCCAAATTCCCCCTCAGCACACTCCCAGCATCCACTCTGGCCATGGAGGAGCGGACAGGGTGTCCCGGCTTGGCATCCTCCAGGAAGACCCTGCCCAACGAAGAAATGGGCTGGAAATAGTCCCTTGCTGCAGGACCACGGGCAACACACCCTGCCAGATTCGAATCGGTGCTGCCATGGGGCTTCTCCTTCAGCCTCTGCAAAAATCAACCCAAAGGTAGTTTTTTCATGCTAAAGCAATTTCAGGTTTAGCTAAAAATGTTCTGCCCCGGTGGTATCAGGCTGTGTTAAATGCGATGCAGCTGCACTGCAGCTCAATCTCCCTCTTGCTCCCAAAGCTTCTGTTCAGTCAGATTTCCATGGGCCAGAGGGAAAGCACGATCCTGGGCTTTCTTAATCCATCTTCAGCCAGTGTGAATCAGAATGGACCTGCAGAACGACACCTCCCGGCTTCTGCAGCTGCAGGGTGTGCTTCACAATCCATCCTCCTCCTCCCAGGAAGGCTGAACCCACGGGCACTGGAGCTGCGCCGAGCTCCAGGTGAGACCCATCACAGCATCCGTAGGCGTGAACGGCACAACAGCATGCCAATGGCTCTCACTTCCCAGGTGTTTTTTTTCCTCATTGAAACTTGTCCAAATACAGTTCTGCGTTTGTTTTGGCTTTCCCCGGGGCACGAATCTTGCGGGGGGTCACCACATGAACCCTCTCTGCCCTGAGGATCCCCCAGCATTGGGAAGAAATTTGTGGAAGCAGCTGAGGAGACGTGAGCTGTGCCGGCACCATGGGGCTGAGAAAACCCTGGTGTGCTCCTGAAGTCCATTTGCAAGAGATGCAGCACGAATGGATTTCAGCAAAAGGCTGAAAACCTTTCTGTGTGACCGAGGGGTGAAGCTGCCTGCTTAAGGTCTGGTTTTTTAAGATAAAAATAGACATCTGGAGAAAAACTCGATGTCAGCTGCGCAATCTTAGTGTTAAGGAGCCATCTCTGCCCCTGCAAGCACCGATATCTGCGCTCATAGGAGAGAAGGTGCCTCCTGATACAAGAGTGAACGGGGTATGACTCCTCCCCAGAGGTTTTTTTCACTAATAATACTTCGCAGTCGGCACAGCCTCGATTGAAAAGAAACGGCGCAGATCCTTAAGCGTTTGCACAGGGTAAAAAGCAAAATTCAAGCTCGCTAAGTCACGGAAGAAGGGAGTTTCCTCAAGCTCAGAGGACGTTATGCTGGCAATTAAGAATTGGCTTGAATGGCACAAAGTGAGAAGATTTGTTGTTTTATGTAAAAGTTTGTTCCCGGAGGTGTAAGAGCACATCAAACACAGTCGCAGGTTACGACATTCCCGTTTGATTTTGCTGCCTTTTGTAAACTTCGGAAAAGGCTAGTTACGGCACATGCCCTTTGGCACTAGTCTGTCTTCATAAGAAGAAGTTTATGATGAGGAGAATTCCCCTTTCGGAAAGAAGCGGCTGCGAGGATCGGGCAGAGCCCGGTGACCTCTTGCCAGAGCTGTCCCCTCTTCAGATGAATCATCCCTCCCACCGCCAGCAGCCACGGTGCCAATAGTGGCGCTGATGATTGGTGCCGTTTCTGTGGAAGAGGTGAAATGAGCACAAGATAAAATCTGTTTCTTCTTTTCCTTATAACAAAAAACCCCACAACTCCCTCCCAGAAAAACAAAATCAAGAAGGAAAGGGCGACACACAGCAGTGCTGCTGCCCACGGCTCCTCTACCCCCCAACTAGTTTTTTTGAAGTTAATTTAGTGAAATCCTGCCCTTTATTGTAAAAAAGACTCTACAGAGAATCCCAACACACCAAAAAATTCAGCCTACCCAGATTTTTTGCTTCATATGTGCCTTATCAGGTAAACGAAGAGCCTTGGCAAAAAAAAGACCACCAAAAGCAAAAAACAAGTTCCTACCATCCCCAAACTAATGTCTCCATCTGATTCACTAAACCTCATTGGAAGAAAAAACACCCATTTCTTGATGAGCTCTGTGTTTTGATTTGAAAAGCCAGGGATGTTTTCAGCCGCCCTTCCCACATGTCACAGGGAATTCCCAGTCTCCGGCCAGTTGCAATATATTTATTTTGATTTCCCAGGAGAGCGGCTGGAGAGAGGTGTATAGAAGCGCCAGCGAGCCAAAAGCGGGGTTGAGGTCAGCTCGATTTGCAGCCAGCCCACCCGGGGAACGAGCAGCCAGGGAATAAAGGGCTTCCTCCCCGCTCCCGCATGTCAGTATAGTGAAGCACTCCAGTGCAACTCGGAATGACTCCGAATGCTATGTTCAGCCTTAAAAATAAGCAAATAAACAGACAAACTTCCCCACACCAAAAAAATAAGAACCTTGAAGTCAGCATATAACAACCTCTTCGGGAACAAACACGTGACTCCTAAGAAATCAGGTGTCTGTGCACACAACAATTTGGTCGGGCAGCTGGAATCGTTTGTTTCAGGATGTTTGAGATACCTGAAGAACGAATGGGAGGTTTCAACCAGAAATCCTTGGGGTGCTACAGACACTCATATGTGCCTGCTCCCAAGCTGTCCCCGTCCATCTCACCCTGAGTAACCAAAGCCCAGGAGCATCACAGTAAATATGCTCTTTCCTTTCTGACTCTGCCAACTGGAAAGCAGCCCTGGCCAAGGTTGTGACGAGGGTGGCAGCGGGGTCCACAATGGTTTTGCCCACCTTCGGGATGTGGCTGCTAAATTTACCTCGAGGATGCACGAGGAGAAGGGAATGGGGAGAATTCTGCAGCTCCCGCCGGCATCCCCAGGGCTCGTGGCTTAGCAATGGGCTCTGTCTGCATGGCTTGGTCCAACTTCTCACACACAACGTGGGTGATGGCATCTGCTTTCATCATGCAGCCCCTGCTGAAGGAAGGGGTTTTGATATCAAGTGACTTTGACACAAAACCCTCAGAAACAACTTGGCCCTTAACAAAAGTGCTGAAACTGGAGTTGTTAATGGAATCAATCCAAGATGTCTCTTTGGAAGTCAACTTTAAGCATTCGCAGCACATTTTAGAGCAGCCGAAGGCTATTGCCACAAAGAACCAAGTAGTCAGCCGGGCAACCAGCAGAGAAGCCGAAAGTGCCTTTGAATTGCAAGGGCACCATGGCGCGGGAGACACAGGGCATTCCTCGGGGCGATGGATGTCTCTGGAGAAGCTCTGTCGTTTCCATCATCACAACGAGGACGTAAATTATGCAAAACGTTGGCTATATAAAATGAAGCCCTTTGCAGACCTTGCAGTGGCTGTGAGGAGGTCGGGCTCCCCGGTGACCTGCCCAGGGGATGGCACAGTCAGACCAGGCATGGGGGACAAGTTCTTTCGTGGAGATGTTCTGCTCAGCCCCGAGCAGGAGTCCTGAGCGGCAGGAGAGTTTAACAACATCCAGGCTGAGCTCAAGAGCCACAGCCCGGAGCATGTGGGCTACCAAAGAGATGGGATCCCATAAAAAACAACCACAAGCACTCCCAAAACTGGTGAAAAGCTGAGAGGGCTGCAGCTCACTGTAAGGGTCCATGGGAAGGGGGAGCACAGCACCCCGAAAGCTGGTCTCTAATAGCTCTCATTGCATTACTAAGGGTTATTAGTGATAATTAATCTGAGCTCTGAAAGCCAGTTTATAATCTGTCTGAAAAGAACTGTTTGTTGTTCTCCAACCAGGCTGTCAAAGCTGCCTTAGACTGACAAGAAATGCTAATTCTTGGCTCTGGGTTGAAGGTGTGCTCCCTCGGGCCCCACGGAGGTTTTGGCAATGATCCCTGTGTGTTTCGCAGAAAGGGAGTTGCTTCTGAGAAGCACCCAACCGTCCTGCCAGCACCGCCAGTATTGCCAGTATCACCAGTATTGCCAGAACTGCCGGCATCGCCAGAACGGCTGGCATCACCGGAACCACCAGAATCAGCAAAACCACCAGCATCGCCAGCATCGCACTCCGCTGCTGGAGAGGCGATGCCCCGCCAGGAGTGCTGAGGTCCGGGGAACCCCACGACAGACAGGGAAGAAACGAAGAAGGGCCGAAACTTGCCAGGAGAGGGAAGGCAGTCAGCGCCGGTCGCTGTTGCGGGAGGAGTGTTCACAAAGTTCTGCTTGCAAAGCTTCTGGCAAAAGTCATTTCCTTTGTGGCAGAAAAAAAAAAAAAAGACAAATAAAAACAAAGGAGCGGAGCTCTGACGTACCCGCAGTCAGAAAACCGTTTCCGACCGTCCTGCGACCCCACTGCAACTGGAGGAGCGGCGCACACTGCTGAGGGGTGCACTGAGAAAAGGGCACAGAGAGAAGCCGGTGGGACAAGAGCAGGGACCTTCTAGTGAGCAGGGGACCCTCTTCAAGCAACTGTCCTGGGAGGATCCACTTCAGGATACAGATCCGAAGGGAGCGTGAGATTCCAAGACACAGGCGCTTATCTGTCCGAGACTGGCCAGAAAGACTGCCCTTGCCTCCTGCTTCAACAAGCTAACAGTTAAGTATGATGTTTTCCTTTGTCCCTACCACTCCCTTTCCTCCAGCATCTATTGCCAGCAGCTACATTCCCACCACCCTCTCCTGATGACCAGTAGCTCTCTGCACAGGTCCTCTTCCCGCTGCCCTGCACTTGCCTTCTGCATCTCCCGGTGACCTCCCCTCTGCCTCCCCTCCCATCTCCCTCTCCCACCCCACAATGTCCACCATGCCCCTCCCCAGCACGTCCTGCTTGCCATCCACTAATGCCTTCGCAGGGCAGGGAGCTGGTGAGGGGTTGCATGGCTCAGCTCCGGTTTCTCCAAGCCACTAACTCCCCGTCTGCTCTGACCACAGCCAGGGACCACGTCCCACTTCCCGCCATGGAGCTGAACCAGACATCTCCCTCTCCCACATCGCCCGTGCTGGAGACTGATGGAGATGACCTGTGTGGAATCGAGGTCACTGATGTGGCCGTAGACGCTGTCATGCTGCTTGTCTCCCTCTGTGGGCTGGTGGGGAATGGGGCCATCATCCGACTCCCCAGCTCTCACATCCGCAGGAACGCCATCACCGTCTACATCTCCCTCCTGGCCTTCACCAACTTCAGCTTCCTCATCATCACGGCCATCTCGTCCCTCATCTACATAGTGGAGAATGTCTCCTGCTCCAGTCTTGTGTTCTTGAGTTTCAAGAGGTCATTTCTTCTTTTATCGCTGTTCTCCTACAACATTGGTTTCTACCTCCTGACAGCCATCAGCATCGAGGGGTGCGTGTCCATCCGCTGCCCCAGCACCCGCCGTTCCCTATGCTTGTCGGCCGTGGTGTGTGCCCTGCTCTTGGCCTTTTCCATGGCTGTCATTGCTACAGTGACGTCTCTATGCCTGTATCACAAGCATGAGCACTGCCGCATGGCTCTCATCTCCATGTACGCCCTCAACTTCCTCATCTTTGCCCCACTCATGGTCATTTCCACCACAATCCTCTTCATTAAGATCCAGTGTGGCTCCCAGCAGCGTCAACCCAAGAGGCTCTACATTGCTATCTTCTTCACCGTCCTCTTCTTCGTCCTTTTCGCTCTTCCCCTCAGCATCTGGAATTTCCTGCAGCAGTTTAACTACATGGCCGTGCCTTCCCAGGTTGTTTTCCTGCTCGCCTGCATCAACAGCAGCATCAACCCCTTCATCTACTTCTTGGTAGGGAGCTACCGGAGGCGCTGCTCCTTGGTGTCCCTCCAGGTCGCCTTCCGGAGGGTCTTTGAGGTGCCAGAATACTACATGGCATGCAACAACAATATTATGATGGACGCGCTGGCCCCAGCCTGATGAAGCCTTTCCATCGTTCAGCTTAAGGCCCCCAGGACAGTGGCTGAGGGTTTCCTCGAGTAACCAGATTAATAAACATCTGCAGTATTTCACCCGACGTCACCCTCTCACGCTGTAATTCCTGCAGAACAGGAGAGCAGGGGCATCGCCAAGGTCGATGTGGGGAGGAATGCTCCATGGGAAAGTGCATCAGAATGCAGCTTTCCTCCTCCCTGCCAGCCCATCCCATTTCCTAGGGCACCTGTTTCCCCTTTCCCCAAGGGGAAAGTGCCCCGGAGGACCATATTCCCATCTCACGTGCTGTTGGCTTTTTGTGCCCCCAAGGACCGTGTTCCCATCTCGAGCGCCATCGGCTTATCAGGATGAGTGTTGCCTTTGGGAAACTGACTCAGATAGAGCACAGGTAGAACCCGTTCAGTGTCCTACATCCCTCTCCCCATCCCAGCCTGCTCTGCTTCTTCGAGCTCCACTCTCCTGCAATGCCAGCGGAGAGGGGACCGTTGCCCCTCACCAGGTTCTGCCGAGACCCCGCTACTCTTCCCTCCCACCGGTACCCAGTTCCTGTATCCCACTGCTCCCTGATACCAATAAACAGCACCGTGCATCCTGGGCTGCCTCCAGTTCCTGTGCCAGCACTTGTTGGCTTCAGCCAGATCCCGCTGCTGGCCAAGGGGTGCAGGTGGAAAGAGGGGAGATGCTCACATGGCTTGTGCTCGCTGGAGCAAAAACCATGGTGAGTGCCGGGACTGTGCCAGCATACTGGGAGTAGGCAGGATGGGCCCAGGGGTACGGCAGTGCCCCCAGACTGTTTTATTAGTGTTACAGCAATTATCTCCCCGAATTTATTTATTTTTTTTAATTTTGTAAGCCAGGTCTAAGTGTAAAGGACTCTTCTTTTCCTTCTGAAACTCTTCCTCTCCCCCGACTTCAGCATGCTGGAGCATTTCTCCTTCTTCAGCAGGCCGGGACAGTGCAGCAGCAAGGGGAGAGGGACCCCATGGTCCACAGCCCAGCCACCGCCTTCCAGGAGCAGGGTGCCACATCTGTGGGTCACCACCGGCTCCACAGGGCATTGCTTGCCTCCCTATGGCTTTGCTGAGGCCTCAGCAGGTCCCACAACTTTCCGTCATCGCAGGAGTAGGGCGAGCTGTGGGTGTGCGGAGAGATGTTGCCGGAGTCAGCAGTGGTGCGTCGGACGGCTCCAGACCGAACACCGTCGTTCTCGGTTTCGGTTTCCCCCAGTGCCGTCATGGAGGCGGGAGGAAGGAATGTTGCTCATCTTTGAGCTGTCCCACGGACACATGTGGGGCCGGTGCCCCTCCTGTCCTGATGACTGCAGACCCC